ATCTTGACTCCTTGTAGATTAACTATCCATTTGAGAAGGGCCCTTTGAGCCCCCGTTTCCGAGGTGAGCATGCTCTCAGGCGTTATGATACTGGGGAAGAGCGATGCATTGCCTGTAAACTATGTGAAGCTGTAAGTTGTGTTATCTTAAATCTTGCAATAATAGTGGATTAGTTAGCAAACCATATGAATTTATCTTCTGCCGAATGAAATTGAGATATAAATGGTCCATACTCCATAGTAATAGCAGGCCATGCTTATATGAAAATTTGATGTTTGCACCAGTAATACTACTCCATGCTATGTTATAACAGTGATTCCATGTTTTCCGTATTGAATTGTGAGTTCTTAGGGTCATCTTCTCTTTTCCATTATTTACTTTGCAAAATTGGTTTCCTTTCAAGTATACCTGACTGAAATTGATTAAAGTTTTTAAGAAAAGTTTGATCCCTTACTTGCTTGAAGTTATTTACAATACATGATGGTTTTGTTCTTGTTGGCGGTAGACCTTGTAGTTGTTAGTGCTTATGGAGTAAAGCATTAAGATTGATGTTCTGTGAGTATTCAAAATAGTCTGGCCATTGTATGCAGGGTTTCAGTTCCTGGGATTGATCACTTTTTCCCATGGGTACAAGGAGAACAAATCGTGGCCTGTAAACATTTAATTTAAAATCTAAATTGCAATTTGAAGTACAATTGATGGCATAATTATGGCCGTGAATCAGACAGTTGTCGGTCATTCTTTGAGGGTAACGGACATGTCAAACACCAAGAAAATTGCTGGTTACTGACTAGGAATCTGTCCTGAAGAGTCCACAACTCCTGGGTTGAAACACTGATGGTGCAAACCTCTTGTGTCAGTAAGATTGTGTAGGGTGTTAGCAGTTAGAACTTTGAGCTCTGGATCACTGGCAGCAAGAGCATTGCAGCTTTCTGCTTATTGGTGCTTTTTTTTAGAAAAATATTTACAGCTCAAATTTCTTAGGCCACATGCTTCTTCAATCTAGTATGGTGTATGGAACTGGTGCACGTATGGGGTTTAAGAAATTCTTGAAGAAGCATCGTATCTAGATTTAATAATATTTTGCAATTGAACGCACAAAGGTTAAATTCATGAGCCCCCCATGGCACCATGTGTCCACTACTACCTTGCTAGATTTACCATAAACTTTGTTGAACACTGATAGTTTTCTGGAAGTAGCTTGCTGTACCGTGTAAGTCTGTAACACTCTCACCAATCTTAGTTATTGAAGTCTTGGCCTTTGATTAGTTTCAAAACTTACTGCAAATTCTCATGTATAGTAGTGCAAAACTGTGTGATTGGCTTTTAAGATGCTTGAATGTTGGATGTTTCTCATACTAGTTGAAGTGGTAGTTATTGATGCATAAGTATGCCTTTTCTCACATGGCTTCACATGTGGTCAGATATGCCCAGCCCAGGCAATTACTATTGAGGCAGAAGAACGTGAAGATGGCAGTCGCCGAACCACAAGGTAATCGAATGGCTGTTTATTTTCTGTGAACCGTGTTAACTGTTAAATAAGCCATGTTGATGATCTACTGCTCTTAATCTGCAATCAAGCTCCATTCTGACGATTCATATTTTATTTTGTCTTGCAGATACGATATTGACATGACCAAATGCATCTACTGCGGGTTCTGCCAGGAAGCTTGCCCTGTCGATGCTATTGTCGAAGGCCCTAACTTTGAGTTCTCTACTGAAACTCACGAGGTAAACTGAACTAGCTGATTCTATCATATGATGTTATTTCCACACATTCCCTGGGAATCATAACACACAACATTCTCTGCCATGGTGCAGGAGCTGCTGTACGACAAGGAGAAACTGCTCGAGAACGGCGACCGCTGGGAGACCGAGATTGCCGAGAACCTGAAGTCTGAGGCCCTTTACCGTTGATTTGCTCTTGCCATTAAATTGGGTCTGCCATTTCCCCTGTTTTGCTCGACTAGCCGATAAATAAGCAAACCTGTATCATAACCTGAAAGCAAGGCGCCATGTTTTTGTGCCTGTGCTCCATCTGTTGTACTAGCATGCTCCAGGGTAAAGGTTTACGGCATGTTTTTGCGATTATTCAAATATTTTTGACTCTGATGGCATCGTGAACAATATACTGGTTGTGGAGTTTATTTTCCTGTCAATATGTTGTGTTTGCGTTTGTTATGAATGATGATTAACCAACCATGGCTATGAACTGGTCTGGACTAAGATTGCCCGTTCATAAATGTGAAGCAGTGTAGTACTCCCTCCATCCCAAAAAGCTTGTCCCTCAAATGAATGTATCTAACATCAAGTTAGTGCTACATCCATTTAAAGGACAAACTTGGGACAAGTTGAATGTATCCAACACCAAGTTAGTACTAAATACATCCACTTGAAGGACAAACTTGGGACTAATTTTTTCGGATGGAGGGAGTACGTATTACTCCCTCTGTCCCATAATATAAGAACGTTTTTGATACTACACTAATGTCAATAACGTTCTTATATTATACTCCCTCCGTTCGAAATTACTTGTTATAAAAATGGATGCATCTACAACTAAAATACATCTAGGTACATTCATTTCTTACAATTAAAATACATCTAGATACATTCATTTTTTGGACGAGTAATTCCAAACGGAGGGAGTATCAGTTATGGATTACTGAGCACAATGCAAGAGTAAACACAGTTGACAGAAAATAAACAGCCATCTGATTACCTTGTGGTTGAGCGATTTTACGGCATACTTAACAGTTAACACAGTTCACATTTTGCATAAGGAAAATAAACAACTTGGCAACGCAGTCATAAGATCGTCATAAGGCCAAGATGATTTGAGATCTTAGAAGTAGTGCGCACAGCAGAGTTTTACTGTATTTTTAAAAGAGTTTCCCATAGAGTTATCTGGCTTTAGTCATGAAACAAAATTCGGAAAAAGAAAACCGTTCTGTCGTCCGGTGACGAACACAACTTACTTGATGTATAAGCCAATAATTAATTCCACAGCAAAAGCTTTCATAGCTCAGTTGGTTAGAGCACCCGTTTAGTAAGCGGGAGGTCTTGAGTTCAACTCTCAATGAAAGCAATTCCATTTTTTTCTTTTTTTTCCTCCGTGAAAATTTGGCCTTTGCAGTTTGTACGCATCATCAATGCATTGTACCAAACGTGTGCACTACTTGCTCCAAGATCTCAAATCATCTCAGCCCACAGGTGGATGTCGCCGTTGGTGAGGTGTCTTGAGTTCAACTCTCAATGAAAGCAATTCCATTTTTTTCTTTTTTTTTCTCCGTGAAAATTTGGCCTTTGCAGTTTGTACGCAAATGGCTTCATCAATGCATTGTACCAAACGTGTGCACTACTTGTTCCAATATCTCAAATCATCTCAGCCCACAGGTGGATGTCGCCGTTGGTGAGGTGTTCATGATGCCAGGCTAAGGACCGTCGTCCGTTCCTCTTGTTTGAAAATCCTACACCTTCTACAAATGCCCCAATCAAAGCCTACTTGATTGTGTTGATTTTGATTCTCTCCCTCCCTAGCATGGCCAGAACCAAGGACTCGTTCCGACTTCCAAAAGTCGCCAAAGTAACTGAAAGTGCGTCTCTTAGATTCCCCTAATTTGTTTTTGGTGATTTATGACATATCCATGAGGAGGAGTAATGTTTGAATTTATTTCAGATTTAGTCCCTTGTCCATGAGTGGAACATCAATGGTAAGTTGGTGACCCCTAGTCCCCTACCTACAACTTTCGATGATGTTGTCTACCTCAAGCTCTTAGAATGCACTCCCCCCGTTTCTTTTTTACTTCGCATATTAGTTTCGACTTGAATCAATTTTTCTAAAGCCTCAACATTCTCAATGCCAAATTGATATAATTAGATCTAGCAAACACGTTATAGGCCATGTAAGTAAATAATTAATTTTATATCAAAAGCTTTCATAGCTCAGTTGGTTAGAGCACCCGTTTAGTAAGCGGGAGGTCTTGAGTTCAACTCTCAATGAAAGCAATTTCTTTTTCTTACTTTCTTTTTTCTTCTCATGTATCAAAGACAAACTGTTAAAAATTTGTTGTTCTTCTCATGTATCAACGACAAACTGTTTTTCTTACTTTTCCTTTTTCTTCTCATGTATCAAAGACAAACTGTTAAAAATTTGTTGTTCTTCTCATGTATCAACGACAAACTGTTAAAATTTTGTTGAATAAATTAGGCTACAACTAGAGTTGTAAGTAGCGGATAGCCCCTGCACATTTCCTGCCATTCTGATCTCTACCTTGTTTGATGAAACAACTTTTTCCTTTTTTTAGGGGGACAACACATGTTTCAATGGCAAAATTCCATCGTCAGCCATGTCTTGGAGCACAAGCTCGACTACGGAGAAGCAAGCCAAGAAACCGAAGCTAGATTGTCGGCACCCATCAACGGTGACGGGTTTTGACTTGAATCAAATTTTCTAAAGTCTCAACATTCTCAACACAAAATTGATGTAATTAGATCTATCAAAGACGATACAGTCCATGTAAATAAATAATTATTTCTATGCGAAAAGCTTTCATAGCTCAGTTGGTTAGAGCACCCGTTTAGTAAGCGGGAGGTCTTGAGTTCAACTCTCAATGAAAGCATCTTTATTCCTTTCGTTTTTCTTTTTCTTTCCATGTATCTAAGACAAAGCCAGGCGGTCTCCAGATAGTTTTGTACTGTTAAATTTTTTTTGTTGAATAAAATTAGGCTATAATAACTAGAGTTGTAATTAGCGGATAGCCCTTATATAGGTGGCCTTCTGCACATTTCCTGGCATTCTGATCTCTACCTTGTCTCATGAAACAACTTTTCCTTTCTTTCAGGGGGAGAACACATGTTTTCATGGCAAAATTCCATCGCCAGCCATGTCTTGGAGCGCAAGCTCGACTACGGAGAAGAGCAAGCCAAGAAGCCGAAGCTAGACTGTCGGCACCATCAACGGTGACAGGTTTTGACGCCCTAAAACTCAGTGGCCTAACCTAGTTAGATGGTATAATGTTGTGACAAGTCGAGTCACAAGGATAGGGGCAGTCAACTTCTTGGGCGGCACCCCTTTCAAAGTACCAATCACCAACAAGCTTCGCAATTGCCTGAAACAAAAAGATTTTAGTGCAAACAAGTACAGCTTATTCTTACGGGAGTAAATAATTATTAGTACTACCTTGTCATGTAGTCTTGGGGAATTTGGTGCAAACCATGTGTCCTGAGACTCGCTCTGGCAATGTGAAAAGCAAGAATTGATGAACATCCCCACCTTCGATTCGCCTTCGAACGGTTTCAGAGCCATTAACATTGCGCTTCTCAGGCCTGGAGATGAGTTCAGAAATGTCCTCAAGGCAGCAACTTAAATCAAGGATCTTCTTTTAAGAGAATATTTATGTAGGACAACAAATTGGTTGAATTGCCTTAAGAGTTAAAGCAATAACTAAATCAAGACCCTTGCGTTCGTTGGTTTAATGTACATTTCACAGACCCGTATAAAGCACAAAAATGTAACCTTGGAGAGTTGCAATTTGGGATGAGCTGCATGCGCTAAGGGCCGCCTTGCAGCGACTCCATTGACCTCTAGGATCAGACGAAGGAGGCACAAAATTTTGAAAAAACTGTCCAAAAAATGTTAAGCATGTGTAGTTACTAGTGACCGGATGCTGAAAAAAATGTGTAAGGTAGTATCATGTCTTGTTTTACCTGATATACGTCGTAAGCTGAATTCAAGATGAAATAGGGGGCTCTCATGCTCCGAAGCGCATATTGCCGGAAAAAGCACTGCACACAAACGGTGGGAAGTTATGCATGGTTTAGCACAAGCGCGGTGTAAAAATGCGGTTCGGTTCTACCAGCAAGGAAGAGTATAGGAATCCAAAGAGTCCTCACCTGATAAGATTTTACCGTCGAATCCGAACAGTTTTTGTTCAAATTCTTCTGAACCCCCTAGATTAAAGTTGAAAAATTGCAAGAAGTATTTCAAAACAAGAAGGTCCAAGGCATCGTAGAGATATTTCCAATTTACTGTGGGAAGACCGGAAGAGGGATTTTGCTAGTGAAAAGGACCTGGAAATCGACTACCCCGTTAAAGAAAGACCTGACGGTGCTGTGGCCGGAAATATCGTCCCTGCGAAATGACGCTAAGCCCTTTCAACACATTTGAGAAAAAAGAGTCAACATTTCAGAAGTATTTTTTTTCTTGCTTGATTTGCTCCAACTTACACATCAAGGAAAAACCCTGCATCGCTCATGCATTTCACCGTGGCTACACCTCGGAGACGCTCCTCGAGGTCGTCGCAGTGGAAGAACGTAGCTAGACCTCCTGCTGAGCAGCCTGAGAGCAGCACCTGATGAAGGATTCAGAACTTGCTCAAAACCATGGCCGACTTAATTGATGTCTAGCCTGAGAGCAGTAAAACAAATATGCAGAAGGTATATTATATATATAGGTTGTGAATGATGAGATGTGATGAACCTTTTCGGCTTTCGCAAGGCCTTTCAGGAACAGATCGGTGATGATTGCATCCCATATCCTCTGGCCTCTCATGTAGATGACTGAAGACTGCATATGTAGAGGCAAGCACTGAGCAGCAAACTTCTGTTGAACGCATGCAGCAGCAGGAAATAATGCAAGCATACTTACACCATTTCTGAACTCTGAATCGCCCGCAAAGGAGCCGCCATCGCAGTATCGAATTTTCACTCTATTCCAATTGTAAAAATCTGCTTGAATTGTTGGCCAATGCCGTGTCAGAAAAAAAATTCTAATAATGACGAGACTTTATGAACTTTTAATTTTTGGACCTTGCAAGTGGCCTGAAAAACCTGATGCAGATGTATGCTAACAATTAATCCTTGCAGGACCGTTAGCTTGAATTCACCATGGACCTAACTAGCTAGCTTGGTTGTTGGTAGTGCTACCTACCGGATTATTGTGACTGTTTGGTGCAAGCAAGAAGCTGAAGAATTCTGAAGTGTGTGTTCGTTTTCTTTGTTGCTGACTGAAAGACAATTCAGGGATTGAGCCGAGGTACCTTACCTGGGTTCATGGCGGGATCGTTGCTGAGCAATCCGGAGAACACCTCGAGCTTGTTCATGAGGCTGCTCGAACCTAGTGACATGCGGGCTCTCTGGGCGCACGACCGCGCGTCGTTGCACCAACCGCCGCCCTCGAACTGGAGCAGCCAGCCGCGAGCGCCGGCGCCGGAGCCCTGGTGGAGGTGGTACGCCGGCGGGCTCCCGTCGAGGCACACTGCAGTGGAACACAGACGCGCGGCGCCGCCATTGGTACTCCGTAATGGAAATGCACATCATAGACAATATGCCACCGGATGGAGGAGAAAAGAGGATATGTTCAAGGGGACGTGGACTTGCCTGCTCCCGTCGACGCGGCGCCTGGGACGAGAGTCATGTCCACCATCAGCTTCTCCTCGACCCCCGCCGCCGCAGCAGCAGAAGCAGCAGCGACGACGACGACGAGCACACCCGTGGCGACGGCTGCAGCCCACGTCCGGACCCGCCGCCGGGCCATGGCGGTCAACGGCGGCATGCAAGAAGCCAAGAACTGACGGCTCTCTCGTGCGTGTGCGCGCGCATGTATGTACACGCAAGTTGGAAAGCGAAATGACAAGGGCGAGAGAATGCACCGGAGCCGGATGTCGACGATGGAAACTTGTGCGGATAACAGCGTCTCGTCGGCGTCAGCTCCTTCGTTGGCTGGGGGCGGATGATAATGTACAGTGTAGATAATAGTGATTTCTTTTGCGGCCACAGATCCACTGGCCTCGTTGTGCTGTTTCAACTTTCTTGTTTCTTTTTTTTAGTGTAACTTTCTTGTTTCGAGAGTTGTGTGTGTGGATCCGACCCAGGAACTTTTAGTTGGTCAGGGCATGGCCGTGCATCAAAACGCTGCTAAAATGTGCGGACAACATGATTCGGACACTTTTTACATGCAACGCAGTGTATCGAATGTCTACGGACCAGTACATGCATTTGAATTTTTTTTCAAACCGGAAACAGGCGTGTGGGAGGTTTGAGAGAGTCCAGACGGCTGCCACACCGGACTCTGACACACCCGGCCCATCCAAATCCCCCCTTCCGGAGCCCTTTTCCCGCACCCTCTCCCCCTATCCGCACCCACCAGACCATCGTGGCGTCTATAGCACTCCGGCCAGCGCCCGGTTCTTTCCGGAGCTCCGTTGCTCCACTCGGGCGTCTTGTACTTACCCACCGTTGCACCTTGCATCCGTCCGCAACCCAGGTATCGTCTGCCTTCTGCCGATGTCGTCCATCGCGGACACCATGCTAGCAAGTGTTCAGTAAAAAGTCATTGAGTTTTTTTACCTTTTCCTCCTTAAAATGAAGCAAGCACGATTGAGGAGGAGGGGATACTCGGTGAGGGAAGATTTATTGGTGTGTGGCGTGTGAAGGGCCACAAGTGTGGGGTTTGTAGGCATAAAGCAAAAGGGCATAATATTTTGCCAGCATGTGCATTCTTAGTTTCACGAGCATAAGTAGTACACGCCCCACAATTTGGATGGGATCCATGGTCGGGATGTGAAATCGCTACTTCACAAGTGATACATCATTTCAAACGTTGCCATGTTGGCCAACATGCATGTAAATCATGAAGATCGTAAGTTTTGTTGTTGCTCTACACGGTCAATTCTTTGATTCACTCGATGTTGCAACTTGATGATCACGTCATTGTATAGCCTGCACACATCTGCGATTTACCAAAAGATGGAGGGCTAGCCCTTCACGTTGACACATTGTTGGATGAAGCTCAAAGGGGTGCCCATCTGGATGAACAACATTTGGTGCACCGGGTCAGATAGCCGCCCCCTATCTGCTGCCTGTGGAGTGTGGACACGTCTGAACCTGTCGGTGGACATTTGATATGTCTGTTTTGATGCACATCTTTGGAGATCCTTTTACTAGATAATTGCTCACATGTTATAACGGGGCAAACATACATTAATTTTTGCAATTTAGATTTCTAGGTAAATAAGTTTTGCTAAATGCAACTACGGTGGAAATAACATATATGATGATATGGTTGCAAGGGAATCTTTACCGCGCACCCTCAAATCGACCGTATATGTCCTTTATGAGAGTTTAGACATTTTTTGTATCCAATGATATCCCTCGAAGCATCGACAGAGAAGTCCTTTTCGGTTGCGAGTTCCCGTCATGGCTCAGAAGCTTGAATAGCCCACCAATGGCTGCAGTGGGTACTGATGGTTCTTTCTTCAAAACACTTACTCTATTCTCCAACTCTAGAAGACTGATCAGGGAAAATGATGTACGTGAGGAATTCATACATAACAGGCATAGTCAGGAAAACAAGGAGATGATAGCATCCTCTGACGCTGGTCACACATTCGCGATACAGCGTTGTACTCCCTCCATTCCTAAATATAAATTTTTTAGACATTTTAAATGGAATACAACATAGGATGTATGTAGATATATTTTAGAGTGTAGATTCACTCATTTTGCTCCGTACGTAGTCACTTGTTGGAATTTCTAAAAAGACTTATATTTGGGAACGGAGGGAGTACATCTTATTTAATGGCTTTGATCCTTATCAATGTATAACTACGTACTCTCTCCGTTCGGAATTACTTGTCGCGAAAATGGATATATCTAGACGTATTTTAGTTCTAGATATATCCATTTCCAAAACAAGTAATTTCGAACGGAGGGAGTACAAAACAAGATCTACGTGCAATGCAAATGGTACAGATCTCTGTTCTTCAACATTACTGACACATTAGTTCTGTACTCATGCACCTACAAAAAGGAAAACAAGTTTATGTGAAGTTGGGCGGGCACGGGCACTACTCAGTCGTGGCTCAGCTCAACACATCACATGGATAAGGAAATGCTTGAAGAAACAAAACACATCACATGGCTCAGCTCAGCTCAACACATCAGATCGCAATTAACCACTAAAAAGGATGAGAGTTAATACACCAACGTTCTCAATCGTAGCTTTGCTCCATCATAAGCTGCAACAAGTTCAGAATGCCGGTGTTGTAAATTTCCCCATCAGCAGCTGAAACAAGTTCCAAATAAACAGAGTAGGCCAGTTTGACTCGAGACAGCAAGAAAATCAACAACCTGTCAACAGAAGCGGTACTGACACTAAAGCAAACACAAACATGGTAACCTGATCTTACCTTCAGTGTGACACTTCTTGTCCTTGCTCAATCAAGTTCGAAATGTGAGGCCAACCAAGAGCACTTCAGATTGTTCAAAGCATGTTGTGACTTGAAGAGGATCATAGGAGTTTGTCCAAGAAAATTTATATGCAGTTTCAAGGGGCATGAATGTTTAAACTTTGATTTGGTTGGGGTGCGCCTGCCTGGGCTGTAGTGCAACGCCCAGACGACACTTGAGGGCCCCAATGGCAAGCCACTGTGGTGGACCCTCCCCCATAAAAAATAAATTTAATATCATTGTGGGCACATGACCCACATATCAGATATTAAACTGATAAGAACAGATACTACACTTGATCTTAGCCAAAAGGCCGAGAAAGGTATGAGTTTCAAAGTTGCCCTCCCCTCGTTTTGTAGCTACCTCGGCCGCGCGTCCCCCCTCCGCAAGCGAGGTGGTACTAAACGGAACGCGACGAAAGAGCAGGCCAGCCTCTCGTTCGTTTGGGCTTCAAACAGGGCCGACAAAAACACCGTGGCCCAGTATTACGGCTTCCCTTTTCTCCTTTTGGTTCCGCTCGCTGTCTGTGACATGTAGGGACGAGCCGAGCTTGAAGCCACCGCACAACACGGGTCCGTCGCGTTCTCGTCCGTACCTCCTCCCTACTCTCCAACTGCGACTCCGCGCGGTCGTAGCGATCGGCCGAGGTTGGCGACGTCCGGCGCCATGAAGGATCAGGCAGGCGGTCGCGCCGGTGCGGCGGCCGGCGGGCGGTGCAGGAGGACGACGCCGGCGACTCAGCGGCCACGCTCCAGCACTACGTGAGTCTAGGACAAGATACAAGAAACTTGAATGGATGGAAAACGTACGAATGTCGGCTGTGATGACAACTGGTACAGTTACAATGTTTAGGTTTTTTTTTTTGAACAATGCAAGGTTGACATAAACAGCACCAGGACAAAATACATGAAACTAGGAATAAACAGATTGTGTTCAACTAAAATACATGGCATGTGAGTTGTTCAACTAAAAGCAACTTTTCAGTAGAAAGTGGAAAATTCACTAGGTTCAGTCCAGTAAAGAAAAATAATCTTTAATGCACATTTTACTCTTTCATAGTAGTATCTCGCAGTTCTAAATCCTTGAGTTGGTATGTGGCAAGAATGAAGTACGAGAGGTGATTGCCTACATAAAAGCATCGAAATCAACTTGACTTGCTCGTTTTATCAGTAGCTGCAGCCATCTTCTGAAGATCATCTGGAGTTCTGGACAAATAGCAGAGTCCACTTAATAATGAAACAAGCTTTCTTCTCGCTTTATAAATAAATAAAGCAACCACCACGTTTAAAGGCGCTTTCTTCTCGCTTTAAAGGCGCTGGCAGAACCTACTATTAGAAGTATCATTGAGTTAAGAAAGTCCAATACATGGCACAAATTATGAAGAGAGATAAAAATAGCAGAGGATTGGCTTGGGTCGTGCATACATTTATTAACAATCGTTCAACACAAATTAACAAGCCATCTGCAGCTACAGTGAGCATTCAAATTTTTTTCGACAACTTTTTGAAAATGGAAAACAATTTGCCTCTGAATATAGCAAGCCATCAGAAAGCAGGTATCTATCTACAGCTTCTTACGATCATCAAAAATTACTTGGCCTGAGAACATCACACCATCTGTAATTCGCCTGACCACCCTTTCCTGCTCATCCTTGCTCTCTGGGAAAAGACGCTCTGCAGAAGAACAGGGCGGCGGCTGCCCAAGGTCATCACATGTCTCACATGACTCATCTCTCAAAATTATTTTCTGCAAATTGGGTGCTCGCTCCAGCATAGCCCTTGTGAATGCCAGCTGCTGCTTTAGCGGCTTAAAACAAATAATTTGGAGCTCTCTCAGTAGAAGGTTCTTGGAGCCGCGGCAGTCCATCTCCCACCGAGGGCTCCTTCTCTCAGGGAAGCGCTGCAGTCTGACCTTGCCATCGATATCGCATAAATGGTCATATACCTGCATTTGCATTAGGAATAGTTATATAGATATAGGCTTGTAGTTTAAATTTTCAGGTTCAGCAGCAATTCAATGTACAGAATGAAAAAAAAACAGCATAACATACAGTTTGAATATGAGATTATGAAGATCATAAAAGTATTTTAAAATGGGAAAAACATACTCATTACTGAAGCTGGCAAAACGTTCTTAGTCAGAAACGACACAACTCACCTGAACTTGTAATATTTCAACAAAAGGGGCTGCCTCAAGAAGGGCTGTCGTCCATATAAGGTCAAATTCAACAAAGATACCAAGTATGGACAGCATCCTTAGCTTGCTGAATGCAGAGCTGAGTTGCTTCATTTCAGGTTGCATCCAAAGCTGGCCAAAGATAAATAA